GGTGTCCCCAAGTCAGCTGCTGCTGAAACTGATCAGCGGCTGATTCCAGGAAGCCCGGAGCAGAGCAACTCTGCCTCTGGCTTCCTGTAGTCAGCTGCTGGTCAGTTTCAGCAGCTGCTGAATCTGGACGCCAGTTCCGACTTACATACAGATTCAACTTAAGAACAAACCTACAGTCCCTATCTTGTACGTAACCCAGGAACTGCCTGTACATTGTTTTAGTTACTGTTATTATCATAACAATATGTTAACTTTTTTCCTGTATTAAAATGCCAAATATAGACCACAGAATTTCTTAAACCAAGGAGCACAGGCTGTGCTTCAAAGAGCTTCCCAATTCCCCCCCCCCCCTCCCCCTCCTATTTTACCTTCCTTCTGAAGTGATTATTCTGAAGACTTCATCCTGTGTGTAACTCAGCATATAAATAAGAGTGAGGAAAGATTGAGTTGTGGTTAAACCTCTACTGTAAGAGTTTATACTCCTGAGTTTTTTTCCATCCATGTCATTAATTTTCAATATGCCTTTGGACAAGTCATTTAATCTCTCTGAACCTGAGCTTCTGCATGTATAAATATTAATATTTATATATTAGACTTTCTTCCCCAAGGGTATACATATTAATGTTTGTAAAGTGCTTTGAGATCCCTCCTTGGCAGGCATTCTGTATAACTTGGGTGCAAAATGTTGTTGGTATTATTTATCATTAACTTTAGACAAGAAGAATAGCTTTTTTCCCTTATTTCAGCTCCAGTGAAAAGTGAAGGCGAGAAGAAAGGTAAATCAATTAGTTTCTCTCCACTGAAGTTCATTCCAGCTTTCAACTGTTGTAAGAAATGTTTCTTTCCTTCAATGACACATTTGAGATGATTCCCCTCAGCTCATGTGCTGCCATCAAATGGCTTAATCTAGTCCTACTGTGATAACACAATTGTCATTTCATGTTCTGTTGCTTCCTTTTTACTACATGCCCACAGCTCAATATCAGTCACTGCAATTATTCTGGCTAAGCAGAAGATGAAAGGCTCTTGTTATCATTTTACAATACATGAGAGAGGGGAAAAAAACTTTCTATAAACTGTGTACACTGGTTTGATTGTTTACTCTTCGCAGAACATGCTCTCCTGTGTTTGTTTCATTTTTCCCTTTAGGACCTCTCTGTAACATGAACATGTGCCAATGTGGGCGTTATATTTGATATTTTAGCATTAAGGGTCCAATCCAAAGCATTCTGAAATCATTGGAAAGGCTCCCATTGGGAGACCTTAGATTAGAACATCATGTAACTCTGAGGGTATGTCTACACTACAAAGTTAGTTCGAACTAACGGACGTTAGTTCGAACTAACTTTAATAGGTGCTACACTAGCGCTCCCTAGTTCGAATTTGAATCGAACTAGCGGAGCGCTTAGTTCGAACTAGGTAAACCTCATTTTACGAGGACTAACGCCTAGTTCGAACTAGCTAGTTCGAACTAAGGGCTGTGTAGCCCTTTAGTTCGAACTAGGGGGAGGCTAAGCCTTCCCAGGTTTCCCTGGTGGCCACTCTGGCCAACACCAGGGAAACTCTATGCCCCCCTCCCGGCCCCGGACCCCTTAAAGGGGCACGGGCTGGCTACGGTGCCCGTGCCAGGTGCAAGCCTGCCAGCACCCAGCT